AAACATGCAAGGCAGGCTAATGGAACACTCTAAATTGTCCCTAGGTGTGAGTGTGAGCGTGGACGGTGGTTCGTCTGTGTGTGCCCTGCGATTGGCTGGCAACCAGTTCAGGGTGTCGCCCGCCTACTGCCTGGAGACATTTTGGATAGGCTCCACCACACCCCGCGACTTTTGTGAGGATAAGCGGATCAGAAAATGGATAGATGGATGGTGGCAGTTGTCATTAGTCTGTGGTGGGAGGAACGATTGTGTTTACAGTGAACGACATGTCTGCATTTTGCACTGTTCATTAGCATGTGCCCGAGTGAGCACAGCATGGGATTTGACTTCTTAATTTGTTCTATTTATTTCTTTGATATCAGTTCGCTGTTGTAATTAGACATTGGCAGAGAAGCCCAGAGGAAGCAGGACTTGCATCAAACGCACTTAAGTAACAGTGTTACTTGCCTCGTGGCTTAGTAGAGCTGGTACAGAGTGTCCTCGGTTTCTGATGGAGTTTCATTCCAATGTACGACTTGGTTCGGAAAGTGGTATAGTCTATCACTAGCCTATGCTAAATCAGCTGTAGGGTACGAGGGTCCAAACAATTCATCGGCCGGCCAATTTGATTGGCTGAGCTCTTTTAAAATTGGCAAAAAATCTTTTTCTTTTCCTGATTTTTGCTTCTTTTTTTTTTACACAGTAACACAAAAAACCAAGATAATGACCTTCAAACATTCACTCCTCCCGGCAAAAAATAGACAGATTTTTGCCAAGTCGTTCTCTCTGTTATGAATTTAAACAAATAGTGAAAGGGAAAGTGATGAAAACCAGTCACATGTTCTGCCTGCAAAGTATCGCTTTCTTTTAATAAGTGTGTAAGGACCTTCTTTTGCTATGTGACGGATTTTTATTGAGTGCACTCTTGGTATGTCGTGACCGTTGTAAACCGAGCAAACCCTCCAACTTTTAACCAGGCCAACTTCAATCTTGATCCTTCCAATATGTGTGCAGCCCTTTGCTTACTTCCCCTACAGGCTGGAGTGGGAAATCAAGTGCTGGCTTTTTCGCATCAGCCAACATTTACTGAAGAACAAACTCTGGAGTCCCTTTTTAGAGTATAAGTCCTCTTCAACTCGTCTTTGCGACAACTAGGACATATTTTCACTTTAAAAGCAGTAATTGTGTTCTAAATAGAGACAATGTGAAGTACACTACAACACAGGAATGTTATACTTCTGATTGCAACCGTTCGATAAACATCTGGACCTAATAATAAGCAGAGAGATGCACAACAACTGTTCCTTTTTTTTTTTTTTTTTTTGCAGTTTGAAGCATCCCCCTGAGGCATGAAGGACAAACACAGACTCCTCTATGGCTCAGGCGTTTGTGTATGGGTGGGAAAAAAAAAATAAAGCATCCTTCACCTGTTGCAATGTCTGCGATTCACTGAATACTCCAAATCCCTCAACTTGAATATTTTTTCCATTTAATGGTCAGGAAGCATTTTCATTCAAATATGTACAATGTACATATTTAAATAAAAGTTGAGAAACAGCCCTGTTCAAATGCTGTTCCGTGATGTAAAATTTAAAAAAAGAATTGAGACCAAGATCAATCATTTCAAAATTTTGATCACGTCATCTTTGTAACCTGCACAACTGAGAAAAAAAATTAAAATAAATGATAACCTATCACTGATCCGATCCAAAGATGAACCAATCTATCCAATCTTTTTTTTTCCCTGCTATTCACGGAACAGTGGGACCGGCCCAGCCCACAAATAGCCAAAATTTGCATATAATTGCTCCCCATTATATGAATTGGGAAGATAATAATAACAACCCCTAAAAATTGTCCCACAAACCCTGTTAAACATTCAACACATAGAAAAGGGGGAAAGGAGGCTAAGGGGAATTTCACAAACTATTGGGGAAAAAATTACAAATAATCCAATTGTATATGCTGGGAAACCTTGGATTATTATCAACACAGCACAAACGTCCCTGGAGTGTGTTTGCTGTAATGTCTTGTTTTTGAGGCTACATGTATATATTACTGATCAATCTGCAAATTATGATATTACAACCGATCACCGATTTTACAAATAATGCAAAATATCTGCCGATCTGAACCAGCCAATCAACCCCGTGTAAAATAACAAATACGCATATCTGAAAACAACTACTTTGTCGCAGCACCTTCGGATTATATTACTGCACTCGGTCTTTTGAGTCTTTTAGTCTGGCACGCAGATGTCTCTTTGCAAAAATGCTCCAAGTCTGTCAGAATGTGGGGCCTTCTGCTATACACAACATTTTATGGATCACAACACAGATATTTGATGGAACTGCTCATTATTCCATCCATCCATCCATTTTCTAATCCGCATATCCTCACGAGGGTCGCAGGCGTGCTGGAGCCTATCCCAGCTGTCTTCGGGCAGTAGGCGGGGGACACCCTGAACTGGTTGCCAGCCAATCGCAGGGCACACATAAACGAACAAACATTCACGCTCACAATCATACCGAAGGACAATTTAGAGTGTCCAATCAAACTACCATGCATGTTTGTCAAATGTGGCAGGAAACCGGTGTACCCGGGGGAAAACCCACGCAGGCACGGATAGGGAGAACACACAAACTCCACATAAGAAGGCTGGAGCCGGAATCAAACCCTGCACCTCTGCATTGTGAGGCGAACGTGCTAACCGGTTGATCACCGCACCGCCCATTATTTCATCCATCAGCCCCAAAGCGCGATGCTACCACCACCATGCTTCACTGTTGGTATATGAGCTTTATCTATGAGCAACCGAACATCCATTTTAGAATTATCCATGGAATTATGGTTCGACCCTATTTTCATCGGACCATAACGCCCTTTTCCACTCTTGGATTTTTGAAAAATCTAGCCATGCCAGGATGTTTTTTTCTCTGTCAGATTAGGCTTTTGTCTTGCCACCCTACTCCATCACCTTAACACGTAAAGATGAAGGGAGATTGTTGTCGCTTGTGCTAAAAAGGCTGTACATGCCAGAAATTTCCTTTCGTGTTGCTGTCGGCCTCTTGGCAGCCTCCCTGACCAGCTTTGTTCTCTTTTCGATCATTTTGGAGGGACATATAGTTCTTGGTGATGTCACTTTGATGGCATATTTTCTCCACTTCATCCAATGCTTTCCATGGCACATTTCATGCCTTGGAAAGTCTTTTGTGCCAGGAGGCTGATACTTTTCTGTGGACTATAGCCCCGTTCACACGGCAACGTTTGGTCCGACGCAGCGCCGAAACAAATCCAGTCGAGCATTCACACGTGCACATTTGCTCCGGCGTAGCTCCACTAAAGAGCTTATACCGGACCCAATTTGATCCACCTCAGGGAGGTGGTTTAAAAATTTGCTCCAGAGCAAATGCTCGTTTGCGACGCTACGCCGAAACAAATGTGCATGTGTGAACGCAGCTTCCAGCTGAAATTTGCTCCAGAGCAAAGGCTCGCTTGCGGGGGAGTGGCCTCGCTACGCTCGCTACCAGATGCACGGAATCCGACCCCAGTCGACAGTGACGAGGGGGCCAGCGACACAGACGAAGCCCGGCCGTGCACCCCCGTTCCCGGTAAAAGTGTCGGCGATTTAAGCGGTGAAGAAAGCGCTCATGATCAAGAAGAGAATCGAGAAAGCAGTGACGTCAGCCAAGCCCGATTTGCAGGCCCGAGCCCGAAGCAAACCCGACATTTCATATTTTATTTGTGAGTATTTTTGGGAGAAAAAAACACAAGATTTCTTACGGTTAAAATAATCTACATATTTTTATGAACATTATCAATGCATTTGCACAATGAAATAACGCTGAAATACAGAATAAGAGGCCAGACAAAGAGAAATATCGATGTGCATTTGCTTAATTACGCAGAGAAACCCTGCGGCTTACTAGGCTTTAAATAGAATAATTCAAATCAAATAAATAGGTAAAGATATCTGAAATTATTTCTATAGGATTGTTTAAACGAAATTAACATACGTGCGCACTGGTCTGGCCGGCCGCGCTCCTGTTTAGCAGTTAAATAACAATTAAATTACAGCGCATTCTCTGTTTTATCCCAATTGTTTGTTTTAAAACAAGTACTCCTTAGTTTAGTATCCGCACATTGTTTTAGTATACATTTTTTAAAACATATATTGTGGCAGTCATAAGGAGCACACACGATTGATTGTAAACACGTCTTTATTCCACGACTGCCGACAAGTGGATCTATTCTGAACAAGGGCAGAATAGTGTCCGCCATTATATTTATTAAAAGAAAAATAAATAAAAGTCCGCGAGAGAGAAGCCCGACCCGAACCTGTTTTACTTCCGCATTCCTGTTGTTTTGGTCCGCAGCAGAAACTGCACGTGTGACTGCAAGTGGAGCTGCTCCGACGCTGCGCCGCAGCTGTCACGCTCAGCGGCTTTGCATGTGTGACCGCTCCACAAAATTTGCTCCGGTGTAAAATATATCGCAACAAAATATTTCGGTGCAGCGTCGGACCAAATGTGTGCCGTGTGAACAGGGCTCAAGGCTTGTGCTGCAAGATGTGACAACAATAATGACGGGAAAAGCCGGATACGATCGCTGAACATGATTTACAGTTAACGAGAGGCACTTTCATTGCTGACGGGTGTGTGCTGACTCCCATTAAACATGAGTTTGAATGTGATTGGCAGATTCTGAACACATGCACGTTTGTGAAAACACATCTCAGTCATTTATGACCCCCCACCGCCCCATCTATTATTATTCATTTTATTTCAATTCAGTTGAACAGGTTATATTAATGGTGGCTAAATGTTTGAAATGATATATCTTAGTCTCTTTATTCGTATGACTGAACCTGCCATTTGAAAAGCTGTCTGCCGACATTGCATAGCCGCTGTATGTATTTCCTAATGCCTGTTTCACGTGTTTGCCATCGGTCCGTGATTGAAAAAAAAAAAAAAAAAAAGAATTAAAATTTTTTTTTACAAGGATTGTGAATGACCTCTTACCTGGGTAGAAATCTTTGGATTTCGACAGCTTAATGGTTGCACCCGTCTCTTTCTGCAGTTGTACAATGGTCTGGCCGCCCTTGCCAATTATAGAGCCGGCTGCATAGCTGGGAATCAGCACCTTCAGGAAGTATTCGCCCTCCTCTGTGAGACAGAGAGAGAGACACACAGAATGTAAAAAGGGGTCACATCTCATAAAGTTGCCCTGCAAGATCATCATTTACACCACGGGTGTCAAACTGAGTAGTTCAGGGGCCACATGCCTAATTTGATGTCAAGTGGGCCAGACCAGGAAAATCAGATGATAATTGCTATCCAGTGAATGCCAATATATTGGTGGGTTTTTTTCCCCCCAATAACGACATTAGAAAAATCTACACGTTTAATGAACTATACTTTGATAAAAAAATTGAAACGGACATTGTTCAGTCACAGCAGCTGCTAAAATCAGCCTGCGCAACCACATTGTCTTCTAGGATTGTAACATCTGGCCCAGACACCGAAATGATGACAAGGAGGTGGTCGATCAACGATATATTCAACGCACACAGATGGGTCACTGTCATCTGTAATCATGGCAAAATAACAAAAGCCAACACACACACACACACACACACGCACACACACACACGCACACACACGCACACACACACACACACACAC